GCCCCGAGCTCTTGCGGACGTTCCTGAAACTGCCCAGCCGATGACCATGCGCTCGCGTGCCATGACGTGGAATCGACCACAGACGTCCGCCGACAGTGCATCGAACCGCGGTCCCAAAGCGGGTCTCCTCCGCCGTCCGCCATCTATGCAAAGTGTCGGTGGTGCTGGTGGTGGTTACTCTCTGTTCCCGAGCACCAGACGAACCCCTGCATATCCTAGCGATGAGTACCACGCTCGGTCCACTTCTGTGTCCCACTCGATCGCCAGCTCGGACATGAGCCAGCCACCCTCGCGCACCTCCAGTCCGGCACCATACTACTCCTCCCCTACATTCAACCGACACCGCTCGGGTTCATCATACAGCGTGTCGAGCGTCCCCGGCAACATCTCACAGCGGCCACCAGTGCGTAACTCGATCATGAAGAGCTCAACCGCATCGAGCGTATACTCAGCCAGCAGCCTGCGATCGGAAGTGGAGAGCGTGCACAGTCTGGAACCACGGGAAAGCGCCGAGACAGAAGTTGCCAAGACGGCGCGGCGGAAGAAGAGTTTTCGGCGCAGCAAGCAACCCAAGCTCGAGAGCACGACAACCGAACCGCTCCCAACAACTCCCAAGAGTTTCATGGGGTTCATGCTGCGAGGGCGGAGAAAGTCCACCATTCAAAAGTCTTAATGCTTAATTTTGTTTGTCAACTTGTTGGAACTAGTGTTTCATATTCATCTGTTTAACTACCGGTTTGGGGCAAATCGGCTATGACGGCGTTCGGTTAGCGGGATTAAGGGTTTAAGGATCTGGATCAGGCGGCTACTCTGATTTGATTTTGGTTTTTGTTTATTCGCACTGGATGCTACCTTCCTGCTACTATATTACTCTAGTGTTTGATTTTATCCTGTACTATAACAAGGAACAAACAGTGGTCTTCCCGGAGCGGGCCCATTCAAAAATGTTGAACATACAATCTCTATCCATCCATCTTTCAATTCCTCCCGCGTACGCAGAAAGTAGACGAGCAGTAAACTGACTCGAACTCATCACGCTGAAACAATTGCTTAAGTACCCGTCACGTCAATCATCACCGAATCTTCCACGATCCTTCCATCGGCAATCCATCTGCGGCACCTACCGCCTTCATCCACAGGAACCAGCCAACCCAGTTGACCGGCCCAAGATTTGGGTCAGATCTGGATATGGGAAAAACTGCGATGAGATCTGACTCGTTCCCCGATCCACTTCATCTCGGTTGCGATCTACGTACCAAACATTGCCATTGGGATTGTAGTTGCCTGTTGCTGTCTGCTCGTATAACTTTACATACACACACACACCCCTCGCCCCTTCCTTTGAGATTTCAATAAGATCTTAGACAATAACCCTGAACCCCTATCCGATGACCCGAACATAATCTAATTATATTGAATTGTATAAACGAGCAGATTAAGATCGCCCAACTAATACACACAGTATATTAAAACACAATTTACGAATATATGAACCCTATATTGGCGCGGGAAACAGATATTTGATATATGGATCGTTCTTCGGCATTTCATTTAGACTACGTACCCGTGCATCTAGATCCAAGGTTCAGGATACGTAGACAGGATAATTTCAAATGAAGGTGTATATGTGGAGCCCTTGACGCGGGCACGGGGCACGTCGCTTAGAAGGTTACAACTTTCAACTAACCCATCAACTATCTATTCAGATTTCTAGAAACCTTGATACTAGTCCTCCTTTAGAGAGAACAGTCCCTCAATGGTACGCTAACCGGCTCGCTCGAGCCACGTTCAGCTCCCGGATGGTTTCATCCATCCATCCAACCACACACCACACCCCCATCGGTTAGTTAGTTTAGTTGACTGGTACGAACCATGATGCACGGAATTAGGGTTGTGGTGCCGAAGTCCGAATGATAATGTGTCAGCCTGTAGATCAATTTGGGCATTGGTTTTCATATCTCTTCATGCTTTTGTGGGTTCGACATGGTTTGACATGACTCGGAGAGTTCGCGCGGGAACTGACTCGGGGGCGGGCTGGCTGCGTGACTTTCAGCTGGCTGTGTCATTATGCTCTGCTAAGCGATGTGGCAAGCCTAGGGAATGAGTCGTGTATCTCTGTATGATCATCTTCATGGAGAGAACTATGGTTGAATATGCCTTGGGACTGTGTGGGAATGGAATGGAATGGTGATTGTTTAATTGACTGACTGACTTGTAAGTGAAGCTGGGAGATGAATGAGAATGGGATGTTATTCATCGTTGATTGGACTAGTTAATGCACTCGCTTGAGTGGCGCTGGGGTATATAAGGCACCTTTTCCCCTTCTTTTTCTTCTTCTCTCTCTCTCTCTCTCTCTTTGTAACCTCCAACATCTGGTCACCAAACATCTATGATGCTCTATCGGTCATGGTTTCCCCTGGTTTACTCGGATTTAGCAGCTACAACAAGAATAACTTCCAAACCACCTAACCATCTACAATTCAATCCTCTATTGAAACGGGACTCTAGTGTTAACGCATTGTCCAGCAAGCTATTATTTGTATCTGCTAGACATATGATGGGCGACCGACCGGTATTGTATATGAAGCAATCTTTCACAGCGAAATGTGACTTCTTTGCTTAGATGAGCTACGTTGACGCTCCTCGTACATTTGTTTTAGAAATACCGCGCAAATAGTGCTATGTTATATTCTAATTGACATGGCTAAAGCTTAGGACTAACGAGACAGAAGACACGCTGACCACCTAACCGTCAATTGGAAGTGTACACAGGACCACCTAAGCAGGGTGCATCTAGGGCTCCTGAATGGAATCGGCTGATATTGGATACAGCGTAGACGGCAATAAATGCATTTGCGGAGGGCACTGGAGACCGATTCCTTCACGTGGCGATTCTCAGCAACTATAGTGCAAGTCGAACGGGCCTCCGCTGTGCCCAGCCCGCTTTTTCGCAGCCACCAGCTTAAAGTAATGACAACAAGCGTGGTATATGGCTGAAAGACCCCCATATACAGCAACAAGGGGGCCTACCTTTTCTTTCAAAGAGACATTAAAAATGAGACACAGAACCGTTACGTCTCGGAATTCTTAAGACGTAACGGGGCGAGTGTAGCCAGCGATTCCGCTCAAAACGGTGTATCGGCATTTTTAGTTTACAGTACACCGGGACGTGCTTGCCTCTAGTAGTATACTTGGCGCTGCTTGCCAGACGGAGGAGTTCTGCTTAAGTCTCCTCTAGATTCTCTTCGCTCCCAAGATAAGCACCCTCCTCACACACCCATAAACACGGTCTTTGTCTTTGGGTCTTTCTGATATTCGTTGTGGATCATGTCTCTCGAAAAAATTATCAATGATCTTCCTCGCAACAGAGAGCAATGGGTACAATATGCCAAGCGGGCCGGCCTTTTGCACAAGTCGCTGCGACACTGCAAGAAACTCCAGTCAGGATCTTGCGTTAACGATGAGCAATTTATGCTCTTCAGAACGATTTGCCCCCAACCCATTCACCCAGACTATTTTAATCCTGCTGACCATGGCCTTGACTTAACTACAGCCTCTAATACATTAGCAATGTCCCAAGGCTTTCAAGCCTACCTCAACCAAGTCGGCACAAACAACTTCCGGGGCCTGGGAGAATTTGGCACTACTCTCGTTCGACAGTGGGAAGTACTGGAAGGCTTTAGAAACAGGGATGATCCGCTTAAGTGCTCTGATGAAACTCCTGTTAAATCTAGTCTGATCAGTCTACTCCAGGCGCTTTCCTTGTTACCTACCACGACTGCCTCCGAGTGGCGTAGCACCAGACTCCGTTTGAGGGGAACATTCGGTAGTCATAATCTTCGTTCAGGCGAGTCTCCTCCCCAATTTGTTGCAATCACAGATGGACAATTGCAAGATAAGCAGACAGGTAAAATCAAGTCTGTGACTAAATGCAAGAGATACCTTCGCGACATGATGGACAAGGCAGTCGATATGGAGGAGGCTGCTGAGGTTGTAGCTTGGGTCAGCCAGTATCCTGATACTGATAGAAGTATCAATACACACCAGTAAGCCACCCGCAACCTAACCAATATGAACACGTTGGTAACGAATTGGCATAGTCGGGTTCTTGTTTCAAAGGATGAATGCGAAATATGGATAACCTTTGCAGGATACGACAATTCTTGGGCAGACTACCTAGATGGTCGTGGTGGAAGTGGAACGAGGCAACCCAGCCTGATGGCGATGCAAAGATACGGTCCCTACAATATAGGGAATAGACGCCAAGTATTGCAGGTGTCTACGATCCTGCTTGCTATTTCACTTTAGTCATACATCCAGCATACTGGGTCGCAAAGACCGGCTTCAAAGTGGGTTTATTGATATATGCCAGGTCGCAAAGACTGGCCTTCATATATGCGCTCTTATCGTGCTAAGAACACAACGACAGGCCAGAGAGCCAGAATATTTGTAGACGAATCTGAATGTATGCTCTGGCTCCTAGATATAAGGAGTTATAGTAAAGGCAAGCGAAGAAATAATTTGCAAAAATTATATGCAAACTTCATTGCAACGTGCTAGCCTATAGCGGATCATTAACATACGGTCATCGACTCATAACTTAGTAGTTATTATTCGAACTACTTGGTCGACTATCGTACATGCTTACGGAGGCTATTGGCTACGGGCTTGCAGCAGGGTGGACAGACAATACGGAGTAAGCGGCCTTCCAAACTTCCTTTTCAAGCCGACATGCAGCTAGGCTAGGCTACTTAGAAAGAGCCGTTTCATGGGTATTTTCGCATAGATCATCCTGATATGTTTACAGGCTTCAGAGAACGCCAGATGAGCTGCGCACAAGCCCGGGCCTACCATTTGTTGATACGCTGAAAGGGAGCCGGACCTCAGTGCCGAGGAGCCTAGTACTAATGATACTTTATTACGTGGTATGGAGTATTAATGGTAAAGCTTGCGTAGATAGTGAATCATTCAGTATCAGCTGACCAGCCACGCCCGCCCAACATACACGCATCTCCAATCTTACTGTTTCGACTCAATTCAACTCTTCAACACCACCAACCATTCTAACAACGAGAACGCCCTCATATTCAATTACACGACAAAATGCCTAGCAACAACATAGCTGAGCAAATCGAACGTCTTTGGAAGGAATTGGTGGTGAAGACTCCTGAAGTGCTGGTGGATAAAGAGAATCAAGTAAGTGATGTAGTCCTGGATCAGTACCAAATTGATCGCAGTCATATGGGACCATATTTTCTTAAAAACCTTGAAAATGAAGGACAGGGAACTGCAGGAGCAGATATATATGGGCCACGAACACTGTTTCCTGCTGATGTCCCAATTCTTTTTCAACCCATGTCCCGAGCGGAGCTTGAAAAGTACCCCATTTTAGCATCAAAACGGCCGAGTATGATACACTACGACCCCGCCATTCAGGGTGAATCGCCAAATGGTCAGAAAACTTTCATATACCAGTGGGCCTACCATTTAATGAATTGGGTGGAATACTCCGTGGGTCAATGCGGAGCAAGAGAAAACGCGAAAACTTTAGATGAAGTACTAATTAGGCGAAGAAAACTGAAAAACATATAGTAAGTGCAAGAAGGCTATTGGATTCTTCTTTTAACTAGATCTTTTAACTAAAGAATTTCCAATAGCTGGCCCGATCCGTTCTATCTAGGCTGCGAGCTGTTTCGGGCATACCCTTCTGTTCACGACCATTGGGGAGCAATTCTTCGGATCGAGCCAGATATGGTTGATGGCCACCGTATCTATCTCCATCTTACCATTGGCCTAGCTCTATCGCATTGCGGGAAAGAGAACTCCATGCTCTACGAGGAACTCGCAGTGATTATATCTGCTATGCAATGCCGGGCTCTTCAGCCTCGGGTTCCAGAAGATGAGGCTTTGTTTGAGGAGGATATTGAGACTATAAGTCCATGCCTCGAGAGTTTGGGGATGAAAAGACGTTTCCTCTTCTCCTTCTGTCATTTCCGGGTCCCCAGAATTTCCGTTATTTTCATGTCTGTATGCGTGGGACTCGGATGCTTATTCTACAGTCTAAGCTGTACAGTTTCGAAAAAGAGGAGACTGCGCCGATTGAGCTTCTAGTACGGTTGGCAATGAGCCAGCCGTTATCAGAGAATTAACTAACACCAGGTCGCAAGGAGTTGTACTTGCTGCACCCTCAGGTCGAAAAGACCGAGACTTATGACAACCTCAGGTCGAAAAGACCGAGACTTATGACACCTCAGGTCGATAAGACCGAGACTTATGTTATCAACAAGTTGTACAATCCATACCAATGCCTTAAAAGAATGAGATTGCTGTCTCCCTACCAATGAGTGCGCCAAGTTCTGAACATTACACACCGCAAACGCAGAGAAGAAGAAGAAGGACTGCTTCTGCTTTTCTTCTCTTCTGATGTCAACATAAATTATCCATTCAGTGGATGATATGATGCAAGACACCACCATATGATTTCACTTCCATAGATCCTCTGTGTCCATGACTGGTTGTACTACTACTCGTGATAGGCAAGCACGGTAGCTTTATGACAGTTGCAACCCCCTGGTTGCGGCGAATCTAACAGTGTCGTCGGTCCCCAATGAAATGGAATAGCGAAGAGTATAACGAGCTATCGGGTGAAACAAACAAATTCCTAACTCGAATAGACACACCACACTACAGTGCCATATACTAGTGCCGATGTCCATCTGGGATTTCTCAGAGAACTTGAGCTCATCGAGGGCATTTGACAATCCAGACGGAGCCTAATACAATACTACGACACATTAGTCAACTAGCATGATGCTGTTGGGCGCTTTCCCGGTCATGTAAAGCGGAAGGCATCTGCTACTTTGGGGTGGAAGGCAGTGATGCTTGGTACGTAAAATTGGCCTTGTATTTGTTCATGTCAAATGTACTATGGACTTGAATGTAACTAGAAGCATCCCAAAACATCCAGTGTTCCTCCAAGAGATCATGAACAAATGATTCAAGAAACTTGTAGCAACTATTTACGCGCCTCGAGAGCAGATTTGATAGCTGCAACATGTTAGATTTGTCCTCATCCATTAGCAGGGTAGCTCACCATCGCAAGAGGTCTTGGCGTCTCCAAAAAGCATCCTCGTTCCAGGCATGTAGAACATCGGGTTTGGTACGTCGGCTGCACGATTAGCGCTTGTCATCCCATGAGTCAAAGACACTTACCGTATCCGCTGGACATGCTGCGCTTCATCACAACAACCTCCTTGCTCTTCCACGCATGCAGGACTGGCATACCCGAGATCGGCGAGTCAGGCTCCAGGGCGATTGGATTGACGGTGTCATTAGCGCCGATCACAAGGGTAACGTCAGTGTCCGGGAAGTCATCGTTTATCTCATCCATTTCGAGCACGACTATTCTGGTTAGCCTCGTCCAGGTGTCCAGGTGTTGCACCTACTATCATAAGGAACAGATGCCTCAGCCAGAAGCACATTGCATTGGCCTGGCATCCTGCCTGCAACAGGATGAATGGCGAATCGCACGGTAACACCTCTGGCACGTAGCATACGCACGATCTCAGCCAGGGCATACTGCGCCTTCGCTACAGCCATGCCATATCCAACAACCTATACCCATTAGCCATGTTCATCACTTCAAAGCTCATACGCACAATTATGACGCTTTCAGCATGTGACAATGCTTCCACCGTATCGTCGACAGTTGCCTGGACTACCTCGCCCTCGATCTTCTTTGCTTGCTGAGGAGCTGCAATGCCGCCAAACAAGACATTGGTAAGCGAGCGGTTCATAGCGACGCACTGGCATGGTTAGAATCTTCCGAGCAATAGTCTAATCGAGAATGCCTACCATAATGTAGGACAAAATCGAACCGCTAACTCCGATTAAAGAGCCTACACTGGTGAGGAGGGGGTTATTGAGCATGAAGCCTTCGGCAACCAGAGCAAATCCAGAATATGCATTCAAAACGGTAATCACCACCGCTGCGCTGGTCAGCAAGGCACGTCACCCAGGGTTGAGCACTTACGCATATCAGCCCCACCGATGGCAGCAGTCGTAGTATAACCTTTCAAGAAACTAAGCAGGGTATTTGCGCCTAAGCACGTCGCTGCAATCGCTGGGGATCCAGGTGCCATCGTAACAAAGGCTCCCATTGTGGCCACATTACTTCCAAGCAGACTCGTGTTGATCAAGTGTCTACCAGGTAGTATCATAGGTCGCGAAGACATACGTCCGGCGAGCTTCAGGAAAGCCACAATAGAACCAGTAAATGTAACACCACCTATTACCGTTAGAAGATTCCCACTCACATGGGATATACCTACCGATCAGAACACCCAGATACGCCGTCACCATATGCAATGTCGAAACGTGAGAGATGTCAGCCACTACACTCCCTATGCTTGTAAGGACAGCCGCGAGCCCAACCACAGAATGGAGAGCAGCAACGGTCTGGGGGAGTCCAGTTGGTGTGATTCGTCGTCCTATAAGAGCTCCTGTTGACTGGTTAGGAAAGTCCGTCGAATGAGTGCTTTACATACCAGCGACAGAACCTAGGCCAGCCACCGCGCCAAATTGAGTCAAAACCTCGGGCGAGAACCCTACAGCTGCCAAAGATGCAATAATTCCAGCTGCAACTCCGAGTATTCCAAGGATATTCCCACGCCTAGCAGTTTGCTGAGAAGCAAGACCCGAGATCGAGGCTACTGATATTAGCAATGGAATTGTCAGCACCAAAAGCACTTACCAATACAGAGAACACTGCTGACAAGATAACCGGCTTGCACAAGCCCCGCCATTCCAGTGCTGGCAGCAGCAAGGAAGCCCCCGCCAAAAAGCACAGCTGGAATAGCGTAAAGCCAAGGGTATTCAGGCGGATCAGTCGGACCTGGACACTGTGTGAGCGGATATCGTCAACATTATGTGCTCCAACACTAACGCTTGAACATATCCAACATGCGTTTGGTAATAACGAATCCACCTGATACGTTCATAAATGCCAGTAGAACTGAAGCAGCACCTAGGGCTTCGGGTATCGTGCTGGGCACGTAGCCTCCGCCCATGATGAAGAAACCGCCGATTCCGACCATACCTGGGGCAGTTAGCATTAGTATAACAGCAGAATGATGTTCGGCTTACGCACCCGAAATCGCATTGGTAACGCTCATTAAGGGAGAATGAAGAGCCGGAGCAACACCCCACACTGCACGATAGCCGACCAGACCAGCAAGACCAAATGTCAACATGTTGCTCATGAACACCGGTCCTGTAGCCTTGCCCAGAGCAAGAGCAGTCCCCATACCAGCGGTAGTGGCCGTAACATCGCGCGTAGCCTTTTGCCAAGGTGATATTGCCAGTTCTGCTTTTTCTTTGGCAGGCGTGGGGATGTCTTGCTTAGGCGCAGGAGGTGGTACTGGCCGTGGGGCTGGCGGTACGATCTTTCCATCGTGTGTAACAATAGAACCGCGAACGACCTCATCTGCTAAGTCAATGCCAAAGGACTTCTCTTTAGGGGACATAGACAGAAGGTATTTGATGATGTTATTGGAATACAATGTAGATGATTGGGTTGGGAGACGCGACGGTAGGTCAGTATATCCTGGAACTTGTCAGCCCTGTATCACTGAACACTTGGAAGCCGCATACCAATAACAGTCACATCTTGAAACTTAGTCAATTCGCCAGGTATAGTTGCTTCGCAGTTCCCGCCTGCTTCCGCGGCAAGATCGACGATGACAGATCCAGGTTTCATTGCAGCAACCATCTAGAACTGTGAGTAGATTTCGATGCATCCTGGGAGACGGTTCTTACCTCTTTCGTAATGAGCTTAGGTGCAGGCTTTCCAGGGATGAGAGCAGTCGTGATAATGATATCTACTTCCCGAGCTTGTTCCATGAAAAGCTTCATCTCCGCTTCAATGAATTCCTTCGACATCTCTTTGGCATATCCACCTTGGCCAGATCCTTCCTCTTGGATGTCTACCTCTATGAACTCGGCACCAAGGGACTGGACTTGTTCACGAGCAGCAGAACGGGTATCGAAGCCTCTAACAATAGCTCCCAAGCGACGAGCCTAGACGATGCCCGTTAATTATGACCTCCAGTGTGACGCATTAACAAAGACCTACAGATGCGATTGCGCTCAAACCAGCCACGCCAGCGCCAATAACCAAAACCTTGCTAGGGGGGATCTAGAACTTCTCAGTATTATAGCCTATCATATCAGAAGGGAATGCAACCTTTCTAAGTAGCATATTGTTAGTAAATCTGTATGAGACATGTAAAAACTCACTTACCCAGCGGCAGTAACTTGGCCCGTCAGAAACCGGCCAAAATGATTGGACGCTTCCAAGACAGCTTTATACCCAGCAATATTGGCCATGGAACTATCGTTAAGTGGTCAGCATTGTGAGTATCCAGTATGAATGGCTCATACCTAAGAGCGTCGTATGTTTGTGCGCGAGATATTCTTGGTATCATGTCCATGGCAAAAGATGTGACGCCACGCGAAGCAAGTTTCTCGACCAGTGGCTTGTTCTGGGCCGGATACAGGAACGAAATAACCGTGCTTCCCTGGCGCAGTGCTCCGATTTCGTCGATGGGACCTTGCTGCTGAGGACTGCGGACCTTCAAAATGATGTCGCTCTGAGACCATATTGAACCCCGGTCGACTAGTGTTGCTCCAGCTTGTTCGTATACTTGATCGTGTAGCTTGGCTTCCTCTCCAGCGCCGCGTTCTACCAACACTCGCGAGAATCCTTTTTTGAGCAACAGGGAGACATTCTGAGGGGTCACGGCAACACGACGTTCGTTCGGGTATGTTTCACGAGGTACACCAACGGTCAGGGCGGAGTAAGGTACGACTGGGACGGACGGCGATGCGGATGCAGCAGTAGCGTATCTTCTGCGAGACGACGTCGGAAGTGGCAGCTGTTCACAGCAGTTGTATCTGGTGGCTAACAATGGAACGCATCGCACTTGCACTTATGCGACGGTAGTCAGTAAGTCTTGAGGCCCACTGTCGATGAGGTTAGCAAAAGCACTCACGAGTGGTCTTGACAATAGAGCGGGAGTCCCGTGCATAGGCTCCAGGAACTGCTCGGCATGGCAACAGCGCCGAGCGCAGAAACAGCGGTACACTCATAGCGGAAGTTGACAGCTAACGCAAGGCGACTCTAATGATAGAAGCTATTGCCACAGAAACCCTCATTCCACTCACTCTCAATGCTGCAAAGGTGGCAGAAGGGGGCGTCTGGGCCACATGGGTGGTGTGACAGAAGGGCAGGCTAGGAAGGACGGCAGGACGGCGGGTTATTGTTTCGAACTGCAAACCCATTCAATCAGAGACGTTAGTGAATTCATATATCAGCTGAAGAGTGCAGGCACGTACAGCTATATGGGGAAAGCTCCTGATTCATGATTCAATCAGGAGAGAGATCGATCGTTCCAATGCGGGGAGGTCACCGTCGCGCAAGGGATGGCGGGAACACAACATGCCAATTATCCACGAGTCTAAACTTGGCATAAAGAAAGGATGACTCCGGTGACCGGAATTCACCTCCATAGGATTGAAGAACGATAGTACTAGTAGTAGCCGTGGGTGATGTGACCAAAGACTTGCAGGAAATGAGGGGAAGCCGCGCGGGGAAGGCCCATTGACTGGCCATCGGCTTCGCGGAGTCTGAGCTGTCACTCCCGCTTGGCATCAGGCATCGTCCACCATGCACCCTTTCTCATGGTTTATGCTGGTATTGACTGCAATAATAGATTTTGGTTTATGAGTGGTCCTATCGTGCCGCTGTCGCATATCTGTGTATATAATACCATCCCAAGAAGGACCTGGTGACCCGTGCTACAACGAATTGCCGACTGATGGGGATCTACATTTAAGACACTTGAGCTCATCTCGGTACAAATGAGCTACTATTTAACCGGGTCGGACAAGCTTTGTCCTCCTACTTCTACAATCCTGGCCCAACCGCAACCGGATGTAACGCCGTCTAGGCGCCGCATCGGAGATAATTGTACATATCATGCAGAGCACCCTTCTGGAATACATATCACTATCTCGTGCAACGGGCACGAGCCATCCTTCGGAGATTGTGAATCACAACAGTTGTTCAGCTATAACCTTGTCCGGCGGGGATATCTGACAACTCATTAAAAGGGTGGCAGTGAACTCGGCTCGTTCAGGCGTGTGAGCTCATGGAATCGCCAGACAGGGTAGTTGGTCATTGGATATTTGCCAGCTTCTTAGTTCGTGTAGACACCTCCATCATCATTTGCGTTTGCAAGCTGCGGCTTTGATCATCAAAGAGTTCCCGAACACTTAACCGTTATTTATAGGCATCATTTCCCCGCTCGACTTGTGGCCTCGAACCTACTTGCTGTGAGAATCAAGTTTTATCACCGCAACCCATTAATGGCATTCATTCTTGGATGCCAGAGGAACCAGCTCTCCGCAAATCGGATGATCAACTGTCCACGTGAATGTTGATTCCAGCGAGCTCGGGCTGTCAGGGTGGAGGATGGGATGTCCGTGCTATGCAGCGTAACATATGATCATTGCGGGTAGTGCACAATGGAACACATTGGTCCTAGCTGAAAAACATCCCCGGCATTTGTACTGATAGGATAAGATCTAGATGGTAAGTGTAGTTGATAAGAAGTTGATCCATGAGGTCACGTGCATGTTCTTTCAGATGTTGCTGCCTGAGGCGATACTTGAAATTCCTCGTGCCAGTGAAGTCCGCGTGGATTGCGGTCCGATTTTATACCTGTCGCAAATTAGCTGGATATTGTCTAGCAGTCATTGTTGGAGTGACGGTTGGTTGAATTGGCCTCGAATCGATGTCAAGATCCATGTCCTGGTAATGGCCGGCCCCTCGCACGGCTTTTTATCCCGCTCCACTCATGGTGGGGCATGGAGATAATCATGATGATGCGATTGACACCCTCCCTCAACCGATTTGAAGCAATCGCTGTCTTGCGTGCGCCAAAAGGGCACCCCGCCTACTTCGCGAGTCATTATATCCATCGATAAAAATCGATTGCCAACTTGATCAACAATTTCATGCATGCATGCACGCGTTGTCCCCAGCAGGCGATGGAGCGCGTAAAGGATCCGTCCACGGCCGAACGGGCTCACGCAAATGTGGAACGGCTCCGCTGCGGTGATGCTACCAGAGCTAATTTCTTGCTTGGCTCCTTAAGGTACACTCTCTTGACCCACGGCGGTCGCATCCTTCCACCCACAGGCCCTGATTGGAATTTGCGCGCTCTCCCGGCTCGCTAGTGGAGCGCAAAAGTGAGCTTCAACAATTCTTCTTTCCCTCACCGTTGGCTCTTGCGGAGCAGACATCTCCGGTCAACCCTCAACTATCTATCCCGTCACTAGATTGAATTGAAGACAAGGGAACTGGATAAGGGTATATCCTTTCTAGACTGGGGAGTGTTGGCGACATCTTGACTCGTTAAACCGGGAGCACGAGTGCTTTAGCTTATCCACTAGGCTAATTTGGATCCTTTTTTTTTCTTGCTGTCTTACGCCTTACAGAGTGGGGTTAGCAGGTTCCTGATCGTCTATCATCAATTTTCAGCTGACTTGCGACAGAAACATCTTCACTTAACTTCCTCACTTTCAGCTATTCTATCTGCACGCTCCTGGACGTGGACCTTTCAGCCTCTGAGTATTGGCCTTGGTTTCCAGAACGGCAGCCATGGCCCCATCACCTCACCAACAACACTCGCAGCTCGTCGTCGACCCTGACACTGTTCCGGCCGGGGGAGAAGAGGTCAGGAGCGAGGCAGAGTCCCGAGAAGATGCAAAGCTACTGGTATGTATATCAGTGGCATTCCTTTCAGCGATCGAGTATTGATATCTAATGAGTAATCGCTGATATACTACCAACAGAAATCTATGGGCTATAAGCCAGTGAGTCAGCCTTAGCAAGCCTTTTGCAGGCAGGTTTGTCTGACCATATTTACAGGTCCTTCACAGGACATACACACTGCTTGAAAACTTCTCGACGACATTCGGTAGGTGAATTGATCACGGCGCATTCTAGGTCCATAAAGGCCACTAACCTCACATTATTAGCTGCTCTCTACTTTGTTGGAGGAGTGCGCGTCACTTATAGTACCGGTATTGCAGCAGGTGGTAACCTGGCTTACTGGTAGGCTCTATCACCGTTCATGCAATGATCGTAACTCATTTTATGTAGGACGAGTTATCTAGTCACTTTGGTTTTCACATACATTACCGCTGCTGTCATCGCGGAGGTATGCTCTGCCTCCCCCTCCGCGGGCTCTATCTACTTGTGGGCCGCGGAGTCTGGAGGTCCTCGCTTTGGAAGGCTACTCGGATTTGTGGTTGCTTGGTGGAGTACTACGGCCTGGACAACCTTCTGTGCTAGCAACACCCAATCTGCTGTCAACTACATGCTCTCGGTGAGTGTCACTTTCAAAGATATCCCAAGGTAGTTTACTTATCAGCGCCACAGGAACTGACGGTCTTCGACGTCGACTTCCCGAAAGACACATCCAGTGTCAAGTTCCGTGCTGTCCAGTGGATCTGCACGGAAGTGTTGCTAGCATTGGCCGCACTTTTGAACTACCTGCCGCGTATGTTCAATCCCGAGAAGGGTTGCGCCTGTCCTGTCTCCGTTCATTTGCTTATAGTCCTACAGCTAGGTTCTTCAAATGGGTGTTTTACTTCTCGTCCTTCATCGTCATGCTGGACTTCTTCCTCAATGTCATCTGGTTGCCAATTGGTGCCGCCAACACATGGGGTTTCCGCACGGCTGAAGAGGCATTCATGTCCACCTACAACGCCACAGGTGCCCCTGCAGGCTGGAACTGGTGTCTTTCCTACCTCGCCACTGCCGGTATCCTGATCGGTTTCGACGCCTCTGGTCACGTTGCAGAAGAGACCAAGCATGCTTCGGTGACGGCAGCACGTGGTATCTTCTGGAGTACTGTCGTCAGTGGCATTGGTGGACTAGCAACTATCATTCTGTTCCTCTTCTGTGCAGTAAGTTCCACACTTTCATGCAACCATTATCCAACAGCCCCATACTGACATGATCAGCCCGACAACGACACTCTCATGTCCTTCGGCTCCCCCCAGCCATTCGTGCCCCTCTACGCCGTCGTCCTCGGCAAAGGAGGCCACATCTTCATGAACGTCATCTGCATAGTCGCATTGTGGCTCGTAAGTCTACCCCCCAACAGCTCCCTCAACCACACATTCACATACTAAACCACTTTACAGAACACAGCGATCGCCATCGTCGCCGCCTCCCGCCTCGTCTTCGCTGTCGCCCGCGACGGTGTCCTCCCCTTCTCCAGCTGGGTCTCCAAAGTCCACAACGGCCAGCCCCGCAACGCCGTCATCGTAGTCTGGGGTGTCTCAGCACTCATCAGCTGCACGCTCCTACCCTCCGACGTGGCCTTCACATCTCTCGTCTCCGCCGCCGGTGTACCTAGCGCCGCCGCATACGGCCTCATCTGCCTCGGCCGACTCCTCTGCACCCCGAAACGCTTCCCCAAGCCCGAGTGGAGTCTCGGTCGCTGGAGCAAGCCGTTCCAGTTCATCGGTGTCTTCTGGAACGGCTGGGTGGTAGCTGTGCTATTCTCTCCTTACGAATTTCCCGTCACCGGCGCTAACTTAAACTGTAAGAACCCCCCTCCCTTCCAATTTACTTCATCCTAAAACATCTGCTTACTTACTTTCCCTCTTTCTAACCAGACGCCCCAATCATCATGGCCGGCGTGACCATCTTCGCTCTAATCTCCTACTTCGTCACCCCCGAGAGCGCCTGGTTGCCTATTGACCGCATCTCACATTTCATCGATAGCAAGGGTGCTGCGACCGAAACCGTCGAGGAAGTTGGTAGTGGTGATAATCATCATCATCAGCCTGAGGCGACGACGTCTTCCTCCAGGAGGGAGGAGAACTGAGTCTACTATCATCGCGAGGCGAGCCTCGCAGTAATATTTCTGTTGTATTTTACGATTGGTGGTTGTGGTGATGCTGGTTTTTTTGCGGGGTTGTTGATCGGTTGAGATGGTCGTTGACTGATCGATCTTGGTGGGGGTAAAGAAGGCAGGAAAGACTGGACTGCTTGCATCGTCCCCCCACCGCCTCTGTTATTTTTGGGTGGAAAAAGTTTGCTTTGTAGATATGATAGAGCCTAGAAGGGTTTAGGTATACCCAGAGATTTAATGTGATTTGCTATAGTTACAGATGGATGTATACAGATGAAATCATGGTAATATCAGATACTAGATTTTGTTCTATTTCAGGCCGTGTGGAAAGCAGATAACTCTCACGGGTGCCAAGGTATAACTCTATATATGACTTTCAGTAAGCCCTGTCTGTATCTGTACAACAGTGATCCAACTCCTCCGGTAAGATAGAAAAAGAGCAAAAATCCGTCACCCATAACAGCACATATATTCAATCAATTGCAAAAGATATTTCCTCACGCTCCGCAAATCCAAGTCTAAGGGTCCAGCCCAGCCGAACACCTTAGTTTCCCATATAGTAACGCCAGTATTACACCAATACGTAGACTCCGTGTTTTCCCCTCCCAAGTAACTTATGTCCATTATAAATCGTCAAATACCATGTCAAGATGGCTCAGAGCGGTCGTGAATCGCAGAAAATGTCATCAGCGAACCACGAAGCAGCTTTGTTCAAGGGAGTAGGATTGAGGAGCGTATATCGTCCATAGTGTCAATCCAACCTTCTGGGAAAGCTCGCCGCTTGAACCACGCT